TAGTATTCGGTAACCTCTACTTGGGAGATAAAAATCGGCCGATTTTATTTTTTAGCCGGAAATCATCGGTCGTTTCTTAGGCGCAGGGCCTCTTAAAAAAGTGTGTTTGAACAAATTTCCAAACACCTCGAAGTTCGTCAAAAATGCTCCGCTGCGCGTCGTACGTTCATCTCTCTTCTTGGTGTTTGGACATGTGGTCAAACACGATCTTTCGTGTGTGATATATTGCATGTATTCGTCAGGTCACTGATCGAATGGAAGAGCTGAAAAGGCAGTACGATGAGAAGTCTGCGCAGAAGGAAGAACTGAGGAAGAAAGCTGAGATCACTGAATTGAAGCTTGAACGCGCCGGCAAACTGGTGTCTGGACTTGCGGGAGAGAGGGACCGCTGGGAAGCTAGTGTTAAGGTGAGAAAACCTTAGCATTGGAATAGTTTTGTTACGTCTTCACCTCTGTGAGCAGCTGTGAATAACGCGACGACTCAGGACTAGAATCAGAAGCTTGCAACCGCTTCCAAACGCGGGAAATTGTACATCTGTTTAGTCACGTGTGGTTTTGGCTTTGCTTGTGATTGGTCGAAACACGTCGTGTTTGGTCTGATTGGTTGAAGCGTGTCGCATGAGCCACACTGTCCACCAAACATAAAACTCGTAGCAAAAATGTGCAATCAATGAATTGAAAAGTGTCCCGCCAAGCTATCTTGCATCTTTGTTCCAAATGTTTGTATTAGCTCCTTTCCTATGTGTGTGTAGATTCTGGAGGAGAACATTGGCTACCTTGTGGGAGACTGTTTGATTGCTGCTGCGTTCTTGTCTTACGCTGGACCATTCCTGTCCAACTACAGAGACGAGCTGGTGGAGAAAACATGGCTGGCGCAGGTATTTGTTGTCTAGTAACTGTAGCGTCTGTAACGTTAAAATCTTTCGCTTACTGCGATCTGATCACTAAAAGGCACTATCAAACGGAAACCGGAGTCACCCGAAACTTTGGACAAAGGAAGCGTTTTTAGTCATCAACTGAACAAGGTTGAAACTTGGAAATGAAGACGAGAAAGATTGAACGCAACAAAGGGTTAAGTAATCATAGTTGGACTTCTACATTTGTGTTCAACTCCTGTACCGTTCACGTAAACGTTCAAATAAATCCGAGTCAGTCATGAATTCTACGTGTTTTATACATTTTATACAAGTTTAATACATTTCCATTCTCGCAGTCTTTAGTCATTTTCGCTTCCTAATTGGTTCCTTGTTTGATGAATGCTATTCTATAAAATCAGCCACTATCACCAAACCATTTGATCTACTTGTCAATTTAGTGTGTTTAATGAGACCATGCCTCTTGTTTTTCAGGTGCGCCAGTTAAATGTGGCTTGTAATCCAGACTTCTCTTTCTCCAATTTCCTGGCCAAACCAACCACTGTCAGAGAATGGAATATCCAGGTGTGTGTAATTCTAACAAATTAGGCGGCTTTCAGTTTATTTTTCGTTTGAAGATAGAACAACAGTACGTACAGGACGAGCCATGGTTTAAAAAGAGAACGGCTTGGGACGAAACGAGGGTGCGGCCGAAACCCCACTCGTCCAAACCGCTCTTTTTGCGTCGGATGTCGGACCCAAAGCGGAAAATCAAACTGCAAGCAGTCTACTTATAAGTGGTTTTCTCACAGAAGTTTCCTTTGCCGTTATGTACCTAGCGAGAACTTTGCATGTACCCAATTTGTTTTATTTTTTAATCGTTTGACTTAATATTGTGGTTTTTATTGTTCATCAGGGTTTGCCCTCTGACTCGTTTTCAACAGAGAATGGTGTTATGGTGACACGGGGCAGCAGGTACTGGCAAAAATACAAGATACACTCAAAGTTATTTTAATGGCGTCTTTGTCTACCAGAAGTGATTTTATTTTGTATTTGCTGATTAAAATTCCTTTCTCGATGGGACGTTTATGGAGATCTTAGAACTGCAAACTGTTCGCGACGGTTAGTCTCATGGACTGGGTGAAATGTCGGAGCGCAAAATATGGGCTAAGTGTTTTTCTATGTATGTTTGGACTGATCAAGGAGGAATTTCCTGAAATTGTATTTTGCGCTACCAATTCAGTGCGCTGTGAAGGTACTTTCTTGCGAACATACAACGGAGACAGAATCTTACAGAATTACCAGAATGCAGAGTTGTGATCGATTTGATGTGCCCTTTAGGTGGCCACTGATGATTGATCCACAGGGACAAGCTATCAAGTGGATCAAGAATATGGAGACTAAGAAGGTCGGTACAGCAGATACTACTGAGTCCTAGATATTAGATATTTATTTCAGTAGTTTACTTATACCGGAATTTCGTCCAATGTTCTACTCACTTAAAGGAGCTCGGTCATGGTTCATTGAGTAATTTTGGCCGACACCCTGAAAATAACAGTTTAATAAGATAGAAGAACACTAAAGAGATTATAATAAACCATAAAGAAACAAGGATGGTTAAGGATGGAGAAGATTAACATGGATTTCAAACGACGAACTTGAAAAATTTAGGCTAAACTCTTCAACATGCGCAAACCATGACGTAGCTAGCTCCTTTGAACGTTGGTCACGGAACTAATGCCCTTTCTTGTCCATTTCTTCAGGGTCTAAAAATAATTGATTTGCAACAGTCGGACTATTTGAGGACATTAGAAAACTCCGTTCAGTTTGGTAACCCGGTTTTGCTGCAGAATGTGCAAGTAAGTGTGAACATGCCTCGCTCGCTTGTAGTATATTTTGTCGAAAGTCGGTTCCAGTATTGCACTTTCAGTAGCGGAGCAGTCAGCTTGTTTTTGGTTCATTTGGTGAAGGTGCTGTTCTTTAAGACAGTCCTCGAAAGTTAAAAAGTTTTGAATTTTGAAAATCGATTCCATTAAAGCTTAACAGGGAAACTGGGTGGGAGGGATCGTCGTTTCATAGGAGGATCGCATTTACAGTGAAATTTCAAGCTAATGAAGTTAAATTTGCGGATAATACGATTTGTGTCCACGCCTTCAGTTGGTAGTCAAGTCAGCTGAGAATCGACATGGCCGTTTATGCGGAAATTTTGCAAGCACAGCAATCCAAAATACGTTGGAAAAAGGAACCGAGTTCCTCAATCAACAGTATCTCTGGAAGTGGCGTCTTGAAGATTTTCGACTTGTAGTCATTAGAGTGAATGCTAATTTCATCTTTCAGGAGGAACTGGACCCATCTCTGGCGCCTATCCTGAACAAGTCTATAGTAAAACAAGGTAATTGACGATAATACGTCCTGGTAATATGAACTAGTTCCCCGCAGAAGTTCTAAACCTAACTCGCAAAAGGAGTCACCAATTTCCCGGGAGGGTTAAACCTTGAATATTGTCCAACTGCAGCGAATATCATACAAATAACGCACGAAATGTTTCAGGGTATTTTCGGTCAACTACGTTTCTCCAAAATACGAACCATGGCGAGACCAAACTCGCCTGATATGCCACCGAAGCGTACCAAAAAGGTACGATTAGGTTTTAATACTACATACCACTGAAAACACCTAAAAAATTTATGTCTTATATTTGCACTACTGACTCAAGATACCTCAAGTGTACCTCAACCCTGCGATATTTAAAGGACGCATCCTCTTTCTCTAGTTAGGTCTGTTTCTGGGCATGAAACAACTAAGAATATTGCTACTCCCCTTGTATGGGAGACAGGTCTATCACAGATTACCACTGTGAGAGTAAAATGTCTTAACCAAGACCTCAACTCAAACAACGCCAGGCAGGGCTCAAATCCGGGGCG